TCTGAAATCAAGACACTGGAACTCTAGGGAAGCAAGAGAGTGCTCTGGGGTGTGTGAAGAATTCTCTTCTCATACTTCACAGTTTGGAAAGTCACTTTCTATTCAGATTTCATTGAAACCAGTTTTTTTGACCCCAAAACAAATTGTAGTTGGAAGTTCTGCTCTTCTTTCAACACAGACTTAGCAAGGATCTTGCCTTCTTTCTTTAGAGAACAATTTCTCTTTATAGTTGGGTCTCTGGATATTACACCTTCCCACTATCAGTGACTAAAATGACTCACAGTGTTACTAGCAGCCTACCCCAGGGACCCTGCCTAGATCACTGCTGGCAGGATTCACCCACCTGTATTACTCATATGCATAAGAAATAAGCAAATAAGCAGCTAGATTGCTTCTCTGTGGGCCCCACAAAAGCAGTACAATTTATAGAAACAAAAGCCAAATGATATGCTAAACATGATTTAGTTAGCCTGTGCTAACCAAGCTGGGGCAAGGGGCAATCTCCATTCTCAGCTACTTTGATATCCCCCAGGCCCAGGAGTAGGGTGGGGTAGGAGAGGACTTCACCTTTTACTCTCAGCATTGCAAAGTTTTCCTTAAGTTCAGAGGAGTCCTTGGTTTCAGTCTGTTTCAACAGTTCTTTCTAGTTTTCTTTCATTAAATAAAGCAAAAATAGGGACTGGGGTTGTAGCTCCATGGTAGAGTGCTTCCCTAGCAGGGCTGAGGCACTAGGTTTCATCCTCAGCACCACATAAAAATAAATAAATAAAATAAAGGTACTGTGTCCATCTACAACTAACTAAATAAATAAACAAAGTGAAAGTAATAGGCCCTCTGTCTTTGTCAGGGACCCAAGGCTATTAACCTTTCGTAGAATCACACACATCTGCATAGGTTGCACTGAGATTAACACCTTGCACAGAAAGTCAAAGTAAAGCAGGCACAGTGGTGTACACCTATAATCTCAGCTATTTGAGAGGGTGAGTTCAAGGCCAACCTTAATTTAGCAAGACATTGTCTCAAAATAAAAAAAATAAAAAGGTCTGGGCATGTATGTAGAGGCATAGCATCCCTGGGTTCAATTCCCAGTACCAAACCAAAAAATAAATGAATAAATAAATAAATAATAAAAGCAAAGAAACATGATTCCTATTCTGTGATTAGATATTGCTTTGCTAGGAATCAACTTTCTTCCCTTTTAAAGCGAAAAATTGCTTATAAGGACAATGCAACTGTTCTGTAACTTGAATGTGGTGGTTGCATGACGATATATATGTCAAAACATAAGATTATCCACTAAAAAGACTGATTTTTGTTGTACACAAATTATTCCTCTAATAAGAATGCCAGCAGGGATTGACATGGGTGGCACATGCCTATAATCTGAGCAGCCTGGGAGGCTTTGGCAGAAAGTTCATAAGTTCAAAGCCAGCCTTAGCAACTTAGCAAGGCCCTAAGCAACTTAGTGATACCCTGTCTCAAAATAAAAAAGTAAAAAAAAAAAACGCTGGGGATTTGGCCCAGTGTTTAAGCACCCGGGTTAAATCTCTGGTACCTAACCCCCCCCCCCCAAAAAAAAAGGATAACAGTTGTGGGGAGTGACCCATGCCTACAATTCCAGCAGCTCTGGAGGCTGAGGCACGAGGATCCCAAGTTCCAGGTCAGCCTCAACAACTATCTCAAAATAAAAAATAAAAAGGGCTGGGGTGTAGCTCAGTGGCAAATTATCCTGTACTAAATCCCCAGTACTTCCCTTCCCCCCAAAAAAGAATACCAACAACTGTTAGAGTCTGTAAACAAGTCAAAATAACACCTGGCATTTAGCCAGGGGAATGTTAGAGTTGGTAAACAAGTCTGGATGGTGCCTGGCAAAATGCCAGAGGGAGTGGTTTGAGAAGTAACAAAAGCGAGCCATTAAGTATGGAGATTCCTGATTGGTTGACTGATGTATCTAGTTTATGTTAATTAGATAAGCTGTGTGGAATGTATAAATACTGCTCCTGTCCTGCAATAAAGGGCTCCCACTCCTGCTGTATCAAGTACACAAGTTATTCGTCATCCCCAGGCTAGTTTGCTGCAGCCGGACTGTGGCAGATGGTGGCCCGTTACGGGGAGCCCTGGGACACTCGGGGGTAAGTGACGAAAAAAAGCTGCCCGTCCATAGATAGGACGGGAGCAATCTGCTTGTCCCTAGGCAGATAGGGCGAGAGGAAAAATGGCCATTTTGAGAAAATGGAGAAGACTGATACAGTATGTTTGTGTATTGTTTTGTCTTGAAATGTTGTATTGTCTTTGTGATGAAAATATGGAAGGGGTGTTAAGTAAATTGATAAGGGAAGGAGGCACCCCAGTGGAACCAAGAATAGTTAAGGGTATGTGTTGATAAGAGCCTGGGAACTCTAGTCAGAAAGAAAAAGAAAGTTCAGAAGAAGAAGGATTATCAGGAAAAAAGTTGCAGCAAAAGGCTATTACTAAATACTTTTCGTTACCGGAGGGTGCGTGAAGCGGAGAGGCGGCTGCCGAGTGTGCAAGCCGGTCACAGCGCAGCAAGGATTTTCCAAGAGGCGGCAGCGACTGGGGACTGGCCCTTCCCCGCCTCCTGGCCGGGGAGCTGGCTCTTCCACTGCCGCGAGCCCAAATCTAGACCTGACCTGGAGGCACAGTCTCGCAGGCTCTTGCTCCCTGTGCCCAGTAGCAGTTTGAGTCCGGGACACTCCCCAGGGCCATCTGGGGCTGCCCAGGCGCTACAGCCAGCAGAAGAGCTACTGGTGTCCCTGATGTTTGGTCATTTTCAATGCCAATAACTAAACTACAATGTTTCTCCCACACCTGGAAGCTAATGAGTAATGAGCACTATTAAGGCTTATTTCAAATGTAAAAAACCTTGAGATAATGTACTAAATTGTTCAGAAGGTTGTTTTCTTAGTAGAATGCTACAGGATTTTCTTTAGCCATCCGGAGTTCCTGCCTTCGTCCCAGCGCCGGTAAAGACCAAGGTGGAAGAATTTCCAGTGTTGCTGAAAACCGGATGAGACTTCGGCTGAGAAACAGACGAAACTTCGGATCAAGCTAGCTGCCTGCAGAACTTACCTGGACTGTGATTTAAGCTAGCTGCCTGCAGAATTTACCTGGACTGTGATTTAAGCTAGCTGCCTGCAGAACTTACCTGGACTGTGATTTACCTAGACTGTGAGTTAATCTATTGAGACACTGCTTTACCTGGACTGAGACAACAAACTGTAATCTACAACAAATTGTAACTCGGTATCTTTGCTAACGGTGTCATTGCTGGTATAATTTTTCCAAGGGCTTCTTGCATGGAGCCATCAATTGGCTTGGTATTGTGGCATTTTGTATCCTCCCTTTCTGTTTGTAGCAGGTTATTTATGGTGTTTCTGTAAAAACCACTATGCTCCTTATTTAAATTAAACAAAAGGGGGAAATGTTAGAGTCTGTAAACAAGTCAAAATAACACCTGGCATTTAGCCAGGGGAATGTTAGAGTTGGTAAACAAGTCTGGATGGTGCCTGGCAAAATGCCAGAGGGAGTGGTTTGAGAAGTAACAAAAGCGAGCCATTAAGTGTGGAGATTCCTTATTGGTTGACTGATGTATCTAGTTTATGCTAATTAGATAAGCTGTGTGGAATGTATAAATACTGCTCCTGTCCTGCAATAAAGGGCTCCCACTCCTGCTGTATCAAGTACACAAGTTCTTCGTCACACCCCCCCCTCCCCCCCTTATTTTGCTGCAGCCTGACTCTGGCAAACAACAACCCAGTTTACTAACATGGAAAAATGTGTAAAACACTATAAATCAGAAGGCAAGAAAGAACTGCAGGAATATAGCTATGCACATATATAAATAAGAACAGGGAGAAATAAGGAGAATTTAAACTGTTCTGTTGAATCAGAATATAGTCTTTAAAATAATTTCTTTGTAATTGGTGATGCGAATTTGGGATTGTAATTGTTTTTTAGCGGGTGGGTGGGGTTGAATTCAGGACCTTAAGGCTAGCAAAGTATTCCCCTACTGAGCTATATCCCCTGCTCTGTAAAAAAGTTAGAAATGAATCTGAAGCAGAGCATAGTGGCACATTGGAGGCAAGCTTGGACATCTTTGCGAGATTCTGTCTCAAAAATAAATAAACAAATAAAAAGGGCTCAGTGGTAAAACACCCTTGGGTTCAATACCCAATACCAAAAAAAAAAAAAAAAAGAGTGTTTGTTACATTTATAAAAATGCATGTAGTATCCTTTAAATTGGTTTGCTTCATGCATTTTGTTATATCTCAAAAAATTCTTTAAAAAAAGTTTAGCAGGGCATGGGAATGGGAAAGACAGTAGAATGAATCTGACATAACTTTCCTATGTTCATACATGATGAATACAAGACCAGTGTAATTCCACATCATGTTCAACCTCAAGAATGGTATGTATATATAATGTATGTATAATAGTGTATAAAGTACACTCCACTGATGTGTACATCTAAAATGAACAAAAAAGAAAAAAAAAAGCTTAAAGAAAAATTCTACTGATCAACAGTATACAGCACATCCAACTGAAAAAAAAAATCATCCACTTAAAATGTGTGCAGTCCACCACAAATTACGCCTCAATAAAATAAACTGGACCTCTGGTGGGGGAGTGATCAAGCACTTCCGCAACGGGTTCACATGACTCACCCCCAAAATAGGCCTCAGGCGCACATCAGACCTCCGCAGTACCTGCGGCCTAAGTCTCCCTAGGGGGAGGCAATCACACAAAAAACCTTAAAGCCCCCGACACTCGAAGCCTTTCAGCCCACTGAGGGAGACCTAAAGCGTTCCAGACCCTCAGGCCCTGCCATCAAAAAGAGAACTGTCGCCTCCGGCTACCCAGTCCCTGCACTCAGCTGCCGCTGCGCTGACGTCACCACCCTGCCTCCCAGTCTCTCCCCTCCGTTCCCGCCCCGCCCCCTTTCCCGGCGTGCGCCGCGGCTAAAATTCCCCGCCCTGGGCTTCTGCCTGTCGCCCCAAGATGGCGGACACAATGAACCGGCGCCGCGCCGGTTGGCCCTGAGGCGACTCTGTGGAGGAACGGTCGCCTAGGCCCCACGGTCCAGGCAGAAGAGTATCGCCAGTGCGAGAGGGGAAGGAGGCGGACTTACTGCTCGCAGCCCTTCCGCTCGCCGCCAGTGCGGCGCCCGCCCCGCCCGGGTTGGCCCTCCGCAGCCCGCCCGCTCGCCCGCCATCCAGCCCCGCCCCGGCCCTGCGCCGCTGCCGCCTCCAGCAGCCGCCGCCATGAAGCTGACCGACAGCGTGCTGCGGAGCTTCCGCGTCGCCAAGGTGTTCCGCGAGAACTCAGACAAGATTAACTGCTTTGACTTCAGCCCCAATGGCGAGACGGTCATCTCGAGCAGTGACGACGACTCCATCGTGCTCTATGACTGCCAGGAGGGCAAGTGAGTGCGGCGGTGGCTCTGGGCCCGGTTCTTGAGTCCCTCCCTCCCTTCTGTGGCCCAGCACTGGTCCCGCGGCCCGCCCTCCGTCCAGACTCCGGCCCCCGGTCTCTTTTGCTTCTTCCTGGGACGCCTGCACCCAGCAGCCGTCCAAAGACCTTTTCTTTCTTTATAAAATAACGATAATCGTAATAATAACAACATTTTTTTTATGTCTTCAGAGTGCTTCTGTGTCGTTTTCCGAAACCCGCCTTGACCTTGACCTTTAAGGGCCCTGTCCGTGCATCCCGGGCCCAGCAGGTAGTTTTTCCCGCTCTTCCGACCGTGGGAGGTGCAGGTCGGCTCTGGGCTGGATGCAGAACTGGAGGGAGTGCTCTCCTACTCATCCAACAGCGTCAGCTCTCTCTGCCCTTTCCGCGGTGACCTCAATTCAGCTCTGGCACTCCGCCGGTCCCCTGCCCCGCAGCTTGTCGTGGCCTTTCTGCCGTCAGGCCCCGTCGGTTGCATTTCTTGGCTGTCAGGATTTATTTGTTGTGCTTCCTTGAGCCCCTGGCGTTTTCTTCCTCTTCCAAGCCTTGCTCTTATTCCCTCAGACCTGGTCTCCACGTTTATTATAAACTTTTTAACATCCTGAAACTTTTTTTTTTTTTTCCATTTTTGCCATTCACAAGCGAATTTGACTGTCCCATTCTGATCCGAATGTGAACTCCTTAAAGTAAAGCATCCCAGGACAATTTCGTGTTTCCCCTTACACATTATTTTAACAGTTTCTGGTCCACTTGGAATTATCAAAATTGTGAATCTGGTCGTCAAAGTTTTATGTTGCACCAAGTCACTACACTTGGCATGTCTTTGCAATATCTTATGAACAGAGAGCGCTTTACCTTTTCCTCTATGGGCCTTCTCAGTCGGGCCTCATCTCTGTGGACTTGCTCCAAGTCCCTGCTGAATTGCTTCTTTGGAGCAGAAACTAGTTTAGACTAAATTTTATTTCCCCTCAGCCTCCTTTCCCAAGCAGGTTTGAGGATGTTCGGTTTAATTCAGTGGCTACTGGTTTTTTCAGACTTCATTTTGTTACCTAGTTACAAATTTTATGTTTTGAATCCTTGGATTTTTTTCTCTACTTTCTCCAAGCTGTCCCTTTTGCCCCCCCCCCCCCCATCCCCAAACAACTGATGTTTTTCTTTTGGAATTTGTCTCTTCATTTGTGAATTTGATTATCTAAAGTAATGCTGTTTTGAACAGAGCTATGTTTTCCCCAAATTTCTTCCCCGCTGGAGCTATGATAAAGTATTATGTAACTGGCTTTGGATCTGCTTGCAGTCATGTGGAAGAGTGGCCTACAGTGATCGTCCTGGGGGAGAGGGAATTTTTTTTCCTCTAGTACTGGCTATTGAACCCAGGGGTGCTCTACCAGGAAGCTACATCCCCAACCCTTTTTCAAAAATTTGATAATGGATCTCCCTAGGTCATTAAGGCTGGCCTAGAATTTAGGATTCTCCTGCCTCAGCCTCCAGATAGGTAGCTGAGATTACAGGTGAGCTCCACTGCACCTGTTGGGGAAAAGGAATTGTTAGCTGAACAGATACTTAGTTATTTGAGTCAGTGTTATTCATTTAGTAGATGAATTCTGTCCATGTCTGGCTACTTGAATCAGTTTGGTGTTTGTGATGGGATTACTTGCTATGTTGCCCAGGCTAGCTTCAAGTTTATAATCCTCCTGCTTCAGCCTCTGGAGTAGCTGGGATTTCAGGCACATGGCCCAGCTTTTTAATGGGTTTGGAAGAGGAAGTAATGTTTAAAGCTAGGGCAGAGATTGTCATTGTGAAGTCCTGGAACTAGAAATAAATTGAAGCTGGTTTGCTTGAAATTTTCAATGCTTGTGCACAAGATTAGAACCTACCTCCAGAACCTAACAGTGGAAATACATGTCTACATTCAAAGGAAATGATGGTTGTCCTGGCATTTCTTCAATTTGTCACCAAATGTGGAGAATTTCTTCCTGTTATGAAGTCTTATATTGTAAAATGCCAATTTTGGCTTTTTACAATTATAGACTTTTTGAAAGTTATAATGTTTCAAAGACTTCCCTTGGAGGAAAAAAAAAACATACTTGAAATACACTTGAAAGAATGATCCAACAACTTATTAAGTTTTGCACCGTTTGCTTTATCATTCCATAGGTAAATATTTAAACTTATGCATTTTTCCCATTACAGAGTAAGTTGGAGATATCAACCCCTTTATCCCTAAACATTTCAATATAGATTTCTTTTTCTTCTTCTTTTTTAATATTTATTTTTATTTATTTATTTTCGGTGGACACAACATCTTTATTTTATTTTATGTGGTGCTGAGGATCGAACCCAGCACCCCGTGCATGCCAGGTGAGCGCGCTACCGCTTGAGCCACATCCCCAGCCCCGCCCCCCCCCTTTTTTTTTAATATTGGCTTTTGAACCCAGGGCACTTTATCCCTGAGCTACATCCCCAGCCCTTTTTATTTTTTATTTTTATTTATTTTTTATTTTGGGGTACTAGGGATGGAACTCGGGGCACTTGATCACTAAACCACATCCCCAGCTGTATTTTGTATTTTATTTAGAGACAGAGTCTCACTGAGTTGCTTAGCGCCTTGCCATTGCTGAGGCTGGCTTTGAACTCTTGGTCCTCCTGCCTCAGCCTCCCTAGCCGCCGGGATTACAGGCATTTGCTACTGTTTTTATTTTTGATACTAGGGATTGAACTCAGGGGCACTTGACCAGTGAGCCAAATCCCCAGCCCTGTTTTGTATTTTTTATTTAGAAAGTGTGTCTCACTGAGTGACTTAGTGCCTCGCTTTTCTTGAGGCTGGCATTGAACTTGTGATCCTCCTGTCTCAGCCTCCTGAGCCACTGGGATTACAGGCATGTGCCACCATTCCCACCCTTTTAATTTTGATTCAGGGTTTTGCCACGTTGCTTGAGGGCTTGCTAAATTTTGATCCTCTTGTGTCAACCTTGCGAGCCACAGGCATATACTACCATGTCCGGCCCATTTAAACTTTGTTTTGTTTTTTTTTTTTTTTTTTAAGAGAGAGAGAGAGAGAATTTTTTTAAATATTTATTATTTTAGTTTTTGGTGGACACAACATCTTTGTATGTGGTGCTGAGGATCGAACCCGGGCCACACGCATGCCAGGCGAGCGCGCTACTGCTTGAGCCACATCCCCAGCCCCCCATTTAAACTTTGTAATGGAGTTCATCTATTGAGATTTCAACTTGAAAACACCTAAAGGATATTATTTGTGGTAGATGAAGCAGATTACTCAAAGAGAAGAAGAAACTTAACCAAATATTTGAGAAAGTGTTGTGTATGGCCTTGAGTAAAGACCCTTGAAATGAATATAATATATTAGGATCTTTCAAACCAGGAAATGAAATTATAGACTTATTAGGAACAAATCTCAGGTTAATGTTTTTGGTAAATTTTAGAAGGCCATATCAAAGTTTAACACTCCCCCCCCCCCCCGCCCCAACTTCTTTATACCATATTCTTTTAGCATTGGTATTTCAGGGTCTTTTCTGTTTGGCCATGGGCTGAAATAGGGCTTGGTTTGATACATATAAAGTTAGCTGTCTTTAGAGAGCAGAATCCTAGACAGTGGACCAAGTAGTTTTTTGGTTTGTTTTTTTTTTTTTTTTGATCTTTTTAGAGTGACAATTATTTCAGTAAAGGTAAGCATGTGGAAATTCCAGTGCATTTGTTGTGAGAAGTCTTATTTGGCTTCATTGGCATTAACAGCAATTGAAAATGCAAATAATTGACTTTTTTTTGCAGTACAGTGAATTGAACCAAGGGGTGCTCTACTACTGAGCTACAGTGGCCAGTCTGGTCTCAAATTTGTAATCCTCCTGCCTCAGCCTCCTGAGTAGCTGGAATTATAGGGTGTGTGCTACTGATCCAAATGATTTTTTTTTTTTTTGGTACCAGATATTGAACCTAGGGGCACTTAACCACTGAGTCACATCCCCAGCCCTTTTTATTTTTTATTTTAGTATCAGGGATTGAACCCAGGGGTGAGGCTTAACCACCAGTGCACATCCCCGACTGTTTTTCTGTGTTTTAATTTTGGGGGGGGTACCGGGGATTGAACTTGGGGGCACTCAAACACTGAGCCACATCCCCAGCCCTATTTTTGTATTTTATTTAGAGACAGGGTCTCACTGAGTTAGTTGTTAGTACCTTGCTAAATGGCTGAGGCTGGTTTGAGCTCGTGAACCTCCTGTGCTGCTGGAATTACAGGCATACACCACCAAGCCCAGCCAAATGATTGGCTTCTTAAGGCTTCCTGAGTCATTTAAGTGTTTAGCATCCAGGTTCCAAGAGGATTTTACGTAGAGAGGGTGAATATTTTCATAAATTTGAACTCTTGAAACATTGGTATAGGATTTTGAAATCCTTCTAAGTATTAAAATGTAGAAATTTATTTTTAAGTCATTTTAGGAAAGTGGTAGTGTGCTTTACCACTAAATTATGTCCCCAGCCCTTTTCTTATTTTATTTTGAAATAATGTCTCACTAAGTTACCCAGGCTGAGCTTGAACTTGTGATCTTCCTGCCTCAACCTACTGAGTAGATGGGATTATCTGTGTGTGCTTTTCTTATTTGATACATATGAGTTGTTCTGGCATTCAGATCTAATTTTACAGAGATAATTGGGTGGTTTTTGTTGTTTGTTTTTTGCTGAGATCTGTTTTAGCTTGATCTTGAGGTTCTGTAGAAGACATTTAGGAACTTCATCAAATGAGTTGGTAACCTGGACTGGAAATGTGTGATTTTATGTTAAAATAAAAAGAACCATTTTTTGCTAAGGATTTAGGCTTGCCTTTAGAGTTAGGTTTGCCTCCTAAAAGTTTCAGCAAATAGGATATCTTCTGCGAGAGCAGGGTATACTAAGAAAGGCAGACTGTTTTGCATCTGGTTTCAGTTTTCATAAATCATTACCTTCTTGAGGAAAGCTTTCTAAGTGAAAGGCTTAAAAAAAGCTCTTGGGGTTGACTTATTTTCATGTCCCTCTTTGTTGTTACGACATGACTTGTGTGTTGTTTTGTATATCTTTCTTTCTAAATAGGTATACTTTTCTCAAAAGCTTTTAAATTTTGTAGTAGAGATTGAATTGAGCTAGGTATAGTGGCACATGCCTGTCATCCCAGCTGAGGCAGGAGGATCACAAGTTCAAGGCTAGCTAGCCTCAGCAACTTGGTGAGGCTCTAAGCAATTTGGAAAGACCATGTCTCGAATTTTTTTTTTTTTTTTTTTAAGGTGGTGGGATAGTTGGGAGCTGGGAATGTAGCTCAGTAGTAAAGTATCCCTGGGTTCGATCACCAGTATCCAAAACCAAAGATTGAATGGAGCTGGGCACTGTGGCACACATATGCATACCCAGCGGCTTAGGAGACTGAGGCAGGAGAATCTCAGGTTAAAAGCCAGCCTCAGCAACTTAGCAAGGCTGTAAGCAACCTAGTGAGACACTGTCTCAAAATAAAACATATAAAGGGCTGGGGATGTTGTTTAGTGGTTTAGCACCCTTGCGTTCAATCCTTGGTACCAAAAGAATTTTAAAAAAGATTGAACTGGTGAGCCCTCACATTTACTTATGCTTCATAATTCTTTCTGTGGCCATTGAGCTTGATTTAAAAAAATTTAAGAGCACAGAATGTCATATTGTCCAGGCTGGTTCTCCTTTGATGTAAAATAACAACTTTGTCTTAAAGGAAATAAGATAATTTTAATTTTTTTTCCTGAGGCAAATATGAGTGACCATGGCCTGAAAACAGATTAAATTGCCCTGAATGACATGTTTAACTGTGGAAAAGGTTATATGAAGTCACCAAACAGAAGAAAGTCATAAACACTTATAACTGATAAGCACCCCTGGGTTCAATCCCTGGTACAAAGTGAGAGAGAGAGAGAGAGAAAGACAGACAGGATATTATGTCAGTATGAAAGTTAAGGTAAGTGGTTGTTAAAGGGCCTAAAATGTCCTGAGATGATTTTGGCTATCAAAAACATTCTTTCTCTGTACCCATCACTGTGTTCTAGTCAGCTAAGGTTAAGCATTCTGCAGAATCTTCAACATATATATAGATACAGTTTCTTCAGAGAACTTCAGTTTACATTGTCACAGAGCAGGAAGCTGAAACTCCAAACCTCAATTCTGGTGTTGCAACAAAAGAAAATTTAAAGTCAGACACCAAGAGTCATGCAAGAGAATTTTATAATCAATGAAGATAAAGTGGAATGAAGTGAGAGAAAGGTGAAAGTAAAGAAGGCACAAGCAGAGAACACTCTCAAGGGAAAGAGTGATAACAAAGGAAACAAAGCTGCTTTCCACTTTCATTGTTGTTTTTGTGTTTGCCTTGAAAACTGGGGACCACTTTCTGCAGCATTCTTTACCAATCAGGTATTCAACTCCTTCACATCAGGCAGTGGAGTTTTTTACCCTAATTGGTCTTTTCTGTTGTGGTAGCCATCCTATTCAGAAGGGCTTCATCTGTAAGTCAAGCCTATGTTAATGTGGCTGGGTCAGCAACCAGAGAGGTTAACTTATCATGGTCCTCAAGATTTCCCCCTTTCTGAGACAAAAGGAGACACTTGGGGCCATAACTTCTAGTTTATCTTAACCTTTATGGGCCCTGTAGAGAGTTAGACCCATAAATCCTTCTTTCTTAATGTATTCCCCCAGCTGGCTCTTTTAACATTGTTTGTTTATCCTCAAGGTTTATGTACTAATGTTTTTCTACAGGTTATCTACTATAGTTATTTACTCATCTGTCTTGGCAGTACCTTATAATAAACTTGTGATTTTAAAATAAAACTTAAAATAAACCTGTAGGGATCTTGCTATGCATTTTACTGTTCATTTCTACTAACTACTACCTAACAGCATCTCAAACTCAGAGCTCTCTGGGGTTCAAGGAATTCCCAGCCTCAGCCTCCTAAGTAGTTGGGACTACAGGTATACCACCTCATCCCTTGATTAATTGATTTTTCCTCCTTTGGTGTGTGGAGGGTGGTACTGGGGATTGGATCCAGGCGTATTCTACCATTGAGCTATATCATTAGTCCTTTTTTTTAATACATTTTTTAGTTGTAGATGGACCTTTATTATTTATTTATGTGGTGCTGTGGTTCAAATTCTCATACATGCTAGCAAGCGCTCTAACCCCTCCATTTTGTTTTTGATTTTGAGATAAGGTCTTGCTAAATTGTCTAGGCTGGCCTCAAACCTGGTGATCTTCTTGCCTCAGCCTTGTGAGTCAGTGGGATTATAGGAATGCACCATGGTGCCTAGCTATTTCCTCCTTTTGGATGCAATTCTGTTTTCTTTCCAGTGTTAGAACTTACTGACTTACTGAGACTCCTCATCCTCACCACATCATTTCAAGTGCTACTCTTTATATGGAGATGTCATATTTTGGAGTTGAAGAATTTTGATGATTTTTTTTTTTTCTCTGTCCATTTCCTCATCAGACCAAAGAGAACCTTATACAGTAAGAAATATGGTGTGGACCTCATCAGATACACGCATGCAGCAAACACAGTCGTTTACAGCTCTAACAAAATAGACGGTAAGCAAACCTTTTTAGGAAGTTAAGGTTATGGTTTCCTTTGTTAAATAGTTCACGAAATCTTTGTGACTACTTCTGCTTTGTTTATAGTTTAGTTTATTTTCCTATGATGTTAGCAATGGTAATTAAATTATAACTAAAGGAATGCTGGAAGCAGTACTAGCACTTTGAAAGATTTGGAACTAAATGAAAAATCTGGGCTGGGGATGTGGCTCAAGCAGTAGCGCGCTCGCCTGGCATGCGTGCGGCCCGGGTTCCATCCTCAGCACCACGTACAGAGATGTTGTGTCCGCCGAAAACTAAAAAATAATAAATATTAAAAATTCTCTCTCTCAAAAAAAAAAAAAAAAAGAATGAAAAATCTACAGTTAATATTAGAGTAGAAAAAGGAAGCAACTAATTACATTTACTTCTAAGTTAATACTCCTTGAAACTTGAAAAAATACTTTTAGAACAAATAAAAGGAAAGAATACTTGACACAGCAAGTAGTAAACTATTGAAGAAAAATAGTTCCCATTCTTAATATGTAGATTTGAGGTCTGGGGGTGTATCTCAGTGGTAGAACTTAACAAAAGGCTCTGAGTTGGATCCCTAGCACCGCAAAAACAATATGTAGATTTGAGAAGAGTTTTCACAAAAATATGAGAAAAAAACTTTAGTTCACACTTCAAATTCCTGGGCTCTAGCAAACTCTTAGGCTCAGATGATCCTTCTGCCTCAGTAGAAGTTTAAATAAAGAAGAGTTTTTGATGTAGTCCATCATTTAATGGTCTGTGTCATAAAGGACAGTATACTAACCTTAGTCATCTTTGATTTTAGGGATACTTTTTTAATCTGAATTTTATTCACCCCTTCACCCCTACCCCTGCTTTTTTTTTTCTTTCTTTCTTTTTTTTGCGGTGCTGGGGATTGAACCCAGGGCCTTGCGTATGCCAAGTAAACTAAGATATATCCTCAGCCCCTCCCTTTTTACTTTTAAATAAAGCTGATCATCTTTGAAGAATAAATTACTTTTAGAAATTAAAACCTGTGAATTTCTTTCTGTAATAAACGGTCTTTGTTTTTAATCTGCATTTCCCCTGGGATGACTCCTTCCAAGTTAACAGATTGTCTTGATAATTGAGCTATAACACTTAATTTCATATTAGGACTCTTTTTTTTTTTAATGTTGCCTTATTGGTTTATTGTTTTACTTTTTATAGTAACCTTTTTCTAATGTCATTCAACAAGGATTGCTTAGACTGCTATTTTGGCTGTGTCTGTCTCAGAGCAGATGGGCAGAAGTCTTCATATTTTTTGTTTGTTTGCTCTTTTTTCCTTTAACAAGATCTTCTACCTGTAGTTGATTTTTTAGTAAGTATATTATTTCTACTTTTCATGTGTCTATTTCAGAAGTGGTTTTTTAATAAGCAGTGCAGTTGATGCTTTTGGATAAGAATATAAAACATTAGGATCCTGAGGAAAATATTTGTATATGATCATCTGAATGACTGGTACATTTCTTATGTTGGGCTGCTTTTCTGAGTGATTAAATGAGGATTCTCCAAATGTGGTACAAGATCAGGCAAATGTGTGGCACTTGCAGCTTTGCTGCCAGGCCTCTGCTGTGGGAATCTTGCCTTTCCTGTCTCAAGTGCATCCTGAAGAGTTCTTCCAGCGCTCCGTTTCCTTTTTGCCTGATTCCAGGCTGAGGTAGTAGTTTGTACAGTTTGAGGGTCTATGATACCACCCGGTACAAGGAGATAACTGTACAGGCCACTGCCTTGCCAGGAACAGTGCGCCAGCTACCAAGTGGGGCGGAAAGGATGGTGAAGCCCTGCTCGTCTCTGGGAATCCAGGTAATGGGGAGGAAGTCTTTTCTTCTTAGGGCAGGTGAGTAGTTTCTAACACTAGATCAGGAATACTTTGTAGTTGTCATTTGAGAAGTTTGAAGATGTTTTCAAAGAAACTGTGTAGTTACAGAACATAAAAGGGTATCCTTTTCTGAAATTTCCCAGGTTAAATACCCTCTTATTAGGAAGTACATTTATGAACCACCACTGGGTGAATCACTTGCTGCTTTCAACCTCTATATTCTGGATTTCTGTTTGACTTTAGAATGTTCTTTCTGTGCTTTTGTTTCCCTGCATTTTGGTATCATTTTCTGTTACCTATTTTTCAGCAATTTCTTCTTTTTTCCTCATCTTTTTTAGAAGCATAGTACTTTCCTACTTTTCCAATTCTGTTCTTTATGGCACTTAATTCCCCTGCCACCACCATCTTTTTTATTATTTACCTTTTATAATAGAATGATTTGTTTTTTTTCTTTTTTCTTTCCATTTTTATTTTTGGTATTGGACATTTAACGCAGGGGTGCTTTATCACTAAGCAACATCCCCAGTAAGTTGCTGAGAGCTTTGCTGATTTACCGAGGCTGGCCTCAAACTTGCAGTCCCCTGTCTCAGCTTCCCAAGTTGCTAGGATCACAGGCAAGCACCACTATGCCCAGCTGATTAGTTTTTTTGTGTGGGGGGGGGGGCGGGGGGAGGTTCTTTTTTTCTTTTTGGGGTGCTGGGAATCAAACCCAGGTCCTCATGCCAGCAAGCACTTTACCACTGAGCCACATTCCCAGCCCCTGATCTGGATTTTAAGGGTGTGTGTCTTCTTTTTCCTAAGCACAAATCTTGCTGATTATTCCTTTCTTTAAAACTGTAAAATCTCATTTCTGTTACTTGATATATTTCTTGAGTTTGATATATATATATTTTTTTAATGTCCTCAACCCAAATCTAGACATTAGTTTCTGTGTTGTTAGTTGCAGTGTACATTGTGTATCCTATGGAATGTTGGGATGGGACAGTCTTGAAGAACCCTGGAAAAAATTGCTGCCAGGATCCATCCTGATCTGTAGCTTATTTGGCTGCTCATAGCTTTGAGCCTGTTTCCTCAGCAGCCAAATGTGTTTCTATAAGGTTTTTCCATTCTGTGGGCACTAAGACTGATATTTTTTTGCCAGGGTATATTTGCAGGGCAAGTTGCATTGTAATTTTGAAGAAGCCAAATATTGATAGTTGAACAGTGATTTATTTTACTTTTATTTTTGGTATTGATTGGGATTGAACCCAAGGCCTCGTACATGTTAGGCAAGCACTCTACCACTGAGTTATACCCAGAGCCCCCAAACGGCTCTGTCAGTATGCTGTTAACTTAGAACTGCTTTTGAGTTGTGAGAAATCTATATACCTACTCTTAAGCTGCTAAGAAGAATTATTCACTTTACTTGGGTAATGGAATACAGTGGGTTTTTGATCCTGTCTTTTCTTCAAGATGAAACTGCAAAGTAAATTGCTTTTAAATAATACAGTATCACCATCCCTTATTTGTCTTCTTGCAGATACTATCCGTTACCTATCCTTACATGACAACAAATACATCAGATACTTTCCTGGACATAGCAAAAGGTAAGACCCAGGTATTGCAGAATTGGATAGTTATTTATCCCTGAGCTAACCCAGATAACAGAAGAATGGATTTTATTAGTGAACCAAAGCTATTTCCTCACTGCTCTTTGGTATTCTTTTTATAAATCTTTAGGAAGATATAGTCATGGTGATGTTGGGAATGAGTCTGATAACCATCAGGAACAAGTAGCCAGCTATTGGAGTAGGTTGGGATTGAAGTTGGGTATTCTACCACCAAGTAAACCTGACTATCTTTGTTTCATTAGCCTCCCCGCCTCCCCCCCATATGCTGGAAATTGAACCCAGTGGTGCTAAAGCATGGAGCCACATCCCCAACTCTTTTAATTTTAAGACAAGATCTCTCTAAGTTGTGGCTTTTTGTTAGCCTTTCTTAAATAGTTAATTCTCAATTTTCCAAGGTTGTGAAAGCAGGGGTAGGGCTACAAAGATAAAGAAAATCTCAGTTAAAATATAAGTAAGGAGGACTGGGGTTGTGGCTCAGTGGTAGAGTGCTTGCCTAGCATGTGGGAGGCACTGAGTTCGATCCTCAGCACCACGTAAATTTAAATAAATAGAATAAAGTAAAAAAAAAAAAGTGTGTATGTATGTATGTGTGTATACACACACATGTGTATGTAAGGGACCAAGCACAGTGGTGCATACCAGTAATCCCATTGATTTAGGAGGCTAAAGCAGGAGGATTACAAGTTCAAAGCAAGTCTGGGTGAATTAGCAAGATCCTATCCCAAAATAAAAAGGGCTGGAGATCCAACTCAGTGGTAAATTTGTGCCCCTGATTCAATTCCCAGTACAGGCCTCCCCCCCCCAAAAAAAAAAAATAAATAAACGTGTGTGTGTGTGTGTGTGTATGTGTATGTATGTAGATGGATGGATAGATGGATAGATAGCAGGGGCTAGAGGTGTATCTCATTGGCAGAGTATGTGTTTAGCATGCAGGAGATGCTGAGTTCAATCCCTTTAATCCCTTGGATTAAAGACACTTAGTAATAAACCTATGTAGTAAAAATTACAGTTGGCATTTAAGAATACCAATCTCAGGTATCCCTTAATGAAAGAACCATTGTGAGGCTTTCCAGTACAGGTGGCCCCCATTTCAGCAGGTCCCTACAAAAAAATGTTACATGTGAAGCTTTGTGTGTTGGGGGGTGGGGAGGAGGGTTTGTGGTAATCAAACTTCACTCATGCTAGGCAAATGCTCTACCACTGAGCTAGCTACATCCTCAGCTCCTACATTCAAAGATCTTAATGAAGATGCAAAATGGAAACAAACAAATTTTTGTTTTTTTTAGGGGGGTAGAAATCAGGGATTGAACTCAGGGTAATTTAACCACCAAACTACATCTCTAGTTCTTTTTTTGCTACTGGGATTGAACTCAGGGGCACTCAACCACTGAGCCACATTCCCAGCCTTGTTTTGTATTTTATTTAGAGACTGAATCTCACTGAGTTGCTTAGCACCTTACTAAAGCTAGCTTTGAATTCATGATCTTCCTACCTCAGCTTCCCGAGTTGCTGGAATTATAGGCATGTACCACCACACTGCCTGGCTTTTTTGTTAAAGTCAAGAAGTTTAACTTCTTGTTCTATATTATGTAATGTATGCAGGCTGTTTCTTTTTACCCTCACCCTACTTCCCCTAATTTTTTTCCTCCAGTTTTTCCAATTTGGCTGAATGTTGTAACAAATATTTATCTTCTTGGATAATATTTCAGTCTCTTGGGGTTATTTTCTCCTATTCTCATTTATAAAAATGTACAGTAACCCAGGATGGCTTAGAGTGTTATGGAGTCCTGACAGAAAATGGACTGAGAGCTACCTTTTAATAGTTGTACTTCTGAGGCTCAGGGGTAGAGTGCTCGTGTAGCACATCCAAGACCCTGGGTTCGATCCTCAGCACCACGTAAAAATAAATAAAATAAAGGTATTGTGTCCATCTACAACTAAAAAAAACAGTTGTGGGGCTGGGGATGTGGCTCAAGCAGTAGCCGCGCTCTCCTGGCATGTGTGCGGCCTGGGTTCGTTCGATCCTCAGCACCACATAGAAACAAAGATGTTGTGTACGCCTAAAACTGAAAAATAAATATTGAAATTCTCTCTCCTCTCTCTTTTCTCTTCTCTTCTCTCTCTCCTCTCCTCTCCTCCCTCCCTCTCTCTCTCTCTCTTAAAAAAAAAAAACAGTTGTACTTTTGAGTGATTAGCGTTCTTGTGTTGCAGAAGACTGGAAATTGTAGCTGTTAGTTATTGTGTACTATCAGATAGAGGATAACTCATGACAAGTAGATGATTTTGCTTGTCGTATTCAAATCAGCGTTCACAGATTTACTGCTTATAATTAAGGGTTAATGTGCCTGCTGAGATTTTTTCCATTCTTCCTTATTGTATCTTCTTTACCCAGAAATACTTTACCATTGATCTACATCACCAGTCCTTTTAATTTTTGGTTTTGAGACAAGATCTCACTAAGTTGCTTAGGACCTCATTAAATTGCTGCTGATTTTGGCCTCAAACTTTTGATCTTTCTGCCTCAGACTCTCAAATCACTAAGATTACAGGCTTGCACTACTGTGCCTGGCTCTCCATACCTCGACCCTGTTTCTTAGTAGATGACTGTGTCCCTCTGTTGAGAGAATCAAGGTTATCCAAATGAGTACTTTTGAACTTATATCCCTTTTCCTGAAATTCTTCTCTTTGGATCTCTTTCCTTGAAAAAGAAGTAGCCTTCCTTCCTTGATGAAATTAACCTCCCACTTTCCACTTGGCTTCTGTCTCTATAATTGACCTTTTCCTTATTGCATCTACAAATTTACTTGGAATTCCTCATCTTAAGTCTATTTATTGATCCTTTCACCCACTTTTCACTATCAAACATGATAGAAGAATATCTACATTTTCATCTCCAACACCTCATACTTTTCAGTGTTTAAAAACACTTGCTCTAGTCTGTTAGAGTCATATGGACTTGGACACTTAGGTTTCTAACTACCTCAACTTTCTCAGGAGATTTTGGCTTTTAATAGTATCTTTTGTTAAGGAGCTAGTGCAAATGTTGAGTTATGATTGGAAGAAGAGTTTTTTGGTGATTAACTCAGGATGGTACAGGTGGAGTACTCCTTATCTCTGGAAGTTTTCAGATTTTAGAATATTTGCATATGTATAATGAGATATCTTAGGAGCGGGACTTATTGTAAACATGAAATTTATTTATGTTTCATATATACTTTACTCATAGCCTGAAGTTAATTTCATTCAGTATTTCTGGTTCATCCCGTTTTGACTACAGCCCCATATATATGATCAAGTGTGGAATTTTCCACTTTCAGTGTCATGTCAGTGCTTAAAAAGATACATGCTGGGCAAGTGCCCGACCATCCCTAGCCCCTGAATTTTCAGATTAGGAATGTTCAAGCTAGGTATGCTAGGCGTGCACTCTACCACTGAACCACAACCCTAGCCCTGCAATCTACATTTTAAACACCTCTTCCAGTGATGCTGACGCCACTCTAGTTTGGAAACATTAGTGAACTCTTGTACTATCCTGTTGTTTTGTTTTGTTTTTCTTTTAATTGTATTTTGAGACTTTCCAAGTTGCCCAAGCTAGGATTATAGATGTGTACCACCACACCTAGCTACTACCATCCTATTAAGAAACCATGCTTCTTTAAAAAATTGATATATAGTTATCAAGCCATGAGTTATTCATTTACTTTTTGGTACTAGGGATTGAACCCAGGGGTACTTTATCACTGAGCTATATCCCCAGTCTGTTTTATTTTGTATTTTGAGATAAGAGTCTTGCTCAGTTGCTTAGGACCTTGCTAAGTTGCTCAGGCCGGTCTTAAATTTGTGATCCTCCTTCCTCAGTCTCCCGAGTTGCTAGGGTTATAGATGTGTGCCACCATGCCAACCTAAATTATCCATTTTAAAGTGTCCAGTTTGGTGATTTTTGGCGGGGGAGAGTGGGGTTTATATTCACAAGAGTTGGGCCACAATCCTTGCTATATAATTCCAAAACATTTTCATCACCCCAAAGAGAAATCCCATACCCATTCACATTCACTTCCCCAGTGTCCCTCACAATCACTAATCTACTTTCTTTTTCTGTAGATTTGCATATTCTAGACATTTTGTATAAATGGAAAAAGATAACTTGTGGCCTTAGTTTCTTTCACTTAAGGTGATGTTTCTAAGGTTTATCCAGGTTGTCAATATGAGTCAGTACTTTATCACTTTTTATTACCAAATGATATTCCATTGCATTTTATGGATGAACCACATTTTGTTTATCCATTCATTAGTTAATGGACATTTGGATTATTTCCTCTCTTTTCACATTTCTATCAGCAGTGTATAAGTATTCCAATTGCTCTACCATCCTCATTAACATCTGTTAATTATTATAGCTATGCTTGTGGGTGTAAAGTAGTATTTCATTGTGGTTTTAGAATTATATATTTTTATAGTAAGGCTTTAAGTTGCTTTTTTCCATCATACCAGTTGGCTTTGAATATTTCAGATATGCTTGCATATATTTCCTAGAATAGCAGTTTTGGGAAACAGGTATATATAGCTAGGCAGAGTGGCTAGAGTTCACATCCAATTTTTGCTCATATTTTGCTTCAACTCCTATTTATCTTGATGCATTACAGGGTGGTGGCCTTGTCCATGTCACCTGTGGATGACACTTTCATTTCTGGGTCTCTTGATAAGACTATTCGACTCTGGGATCTCCGGTCTCCTAACTGCCAGGTAATGATACCTCACAGTTACATTTTTTAGCATTTCTTGTGGTAGGCATTATAATCAGAAGGAAAGCAAGCACTGGTTCCATTCTGGGATCCCAGAGTCTTCCTAAACTTCAGAGGAAACTTGTTTTCCTGGTAGATTGCTGCTTGGTAAGCAGATAACCTTAATCTAGTGTAGTTGGCTTTATATTCTGTGGCTTATTGTTTTAAAAAATTCTTTTCTTAGAGCTTTTGAGCCACAGGTTTTGGCCTCAGGGGATTTGTTTTTATTTGAACTTTTTGTCTATAATATTGTGCAGTTAGGATTGATTAGAAATCTATTTATATGGTGACTTCTTTTTTAAAAGCTTCAATTTAGTTTGATTTTGTTTGCTTTTTCTGTACTGTAGGTAGGCTTAGTTTTCATTAGGAAAGGTCAATTATATGGTGGTGAGATTCTTATTAACTTTTTGTCTTCTTTCTTCTTTCCTTAGGGCCTCATGCATCTTCAGGGCAAGCCAGTTTGTTCTTTTGATCCAGAAGGGTTAATTTTTGCTGCAGGTGTCAACTCTGAAATGGTCAAACTTTATGACCTTCGTTCTTTTGATAAGGTTTGAATCTTTGAATTATCTTGATGGTATGGAAGTTTTAGAGAAAAGATGGATATATTAAGCCCCCTTTTTATGGTAGAGGGAGTATGTGGTAGATATTAGAGAGCCATAGTTTATCTTGTGCTTTCCCACTCAAAAAGGAATCTCAGTAGCAGAGCGCTTGCCTAGCATCCACAAGGCCCTCAGTTCTGTCCTCAGCCCTGGGGGCTGAGGGGGGGTGGGGGTGGGTGGAGGAAAAAAGAAATCTAAACTGATATAGAACTGGAGTTAGCTCTGACAGAAGGAATTGTAAATGTTCTTTGGCCTGGGGCTGCTTTTACCTTTTGCAGGGACCATTTGCAACATTTAAGATGCAGTATGATCGGACTTGTGAGTGGACAGGACTCAAGTTCAGCAATGATGGCAAGCTTATACTCATCTCCACCAACGGCAGCTTCATACGTCTCATTGATGCATTCAAGGGAGTGGTGATGCACACATTTGGGGTGAGCTGACATTTTTTTTTTACCCCGTTACTGGGAATTGACCCCAGAAGCGCTTTACCACTGAGCTATATCCCCAGCCCTTTTAGTTTTAGGTGGACACAATATCTTTATTTTATTATTATGTGGTGTTGAGGATCGACCCAGTGCCTCGTGCATGCCAGGCAGGTGCACTACCACTTTGAGCCACATCCCCAGCCCTTCAACTCCTATTTATCTTTTTTTTTTTTTTTTAATTTTTTATTGTTGGCTGTTCAAAACATTACATAGTTCTTGATATATCATATTTCACACTTTGATTCAAGTGGGTTATGAACTCCCATTTTTACCCCATATACAGATTGCAGAATCACATCAGTTACACATCCATTGATTTACATATTGCCATACTAGTGTCTGTTGTGTTCTGCTGCCTTTCCTATCCTCTACTATCCCCTCTCCCCTCCCCTCCCCTCTTCTCTCTCTGCCCCCTCTACTGACATTCATTTGTCCCCCTTGTATTATTTTTCCCTTTCCCCTCACTTCCTCTTGTATGTACTTTTGTATAACCCTGAGGGTCTCCTTCCATTTCCATTCCTATTTATCTTGATGATTCTAGACTGGCCTGGAACTTGCAATCCTCCTGCCTTAGCCTCCTAAGGCAGCTGGGATTAGAGGTCTGCACCATTGTGCCTGGCTTAATTGATATCCTTTGAGCATGACTGCTTGCATGCTTCTCCCTCCTGGGCTGAAAATTGTGTTAGTGATGGATAATAGCAGTTATCTTTTCACTGATTAAGGCATGAGCTTGCACCATCTTCCTGTCTGTGAACTTACTTCCTTTGGATTCAGAGATATTTGCTTCTCACCAAGTGACCAAAGTGAGGTGTTTAGATATAAAATAATTCTTAATTGCTCAGTGTGGTGCATACCTGTAATGCCAGCTACTTAGGAGGTAAAAGAGTATTGCAGGTTAAAGGCCAGCTTCGGCAACTTGGCAAGACCTTGTCTCAAAATTGAAAAAATAAAAGGGGCTGGGGAGGTAGCTCAGTAGTAGAGCACCCCTAGGTTCAATAAAAGTTTTCTTGCCCCTACCCCCCCATATAGGATTCGGTTAGGGAGTGAATATTTTAAGGGTGGCAACTGTATTTGGAACCTTGGTGGTATTGAATATAAAAAGGAAAGGGTTTCCTGGAAGATGATGTGTTTACTGGGTTGATGTTCTAGGCATTTTTAAACTAGTGACCCTGCAACAACAAGAGAACTGCTTTGTTTTGTTTTGTTTTAGGGTTATGCCAACAGCAAAGCTGTCACACTAGAGGCTTCATTTACTCCAGACTCTCAGTTTATTATGATTGGTAAGCGTCCTTCATTTCTCTTGGAGTTATTTCTGTGGTACTGTGCATTTGTTCAAGCTATTAAACTAATTAATCATAACCTGTTTAATAGATGTTTTCAGGTTTCTGTACAGCACATATATCAAGGATATAGTGTCTTTAAACTGTCTGACTTTGGGGTGTTCTTTGCTGGAACCAACATTACTGTTGATCTTCCCTTGACCAGCATTACAATTAAGCTCTAAAATTACTTTATTAGTATTATTAACTTCCTGGAATAACCCTATGTTCAGTTGCCTCAGTGGCTAGATATTGTTAAGCTAATGGTATTCAGCCTCTTTTTTGGATGGGAAAAGTAAAGCTAGAGGGGAAGTGACTTGCCTGAAATAAATAAACAAGGTCAAGTTCAAATCCCAAGGCTGGAACTATATAGCTCAAGGGTAGCATGCATGCGCATGCCTAGCATGCTCAAGGATCTGGGTTCGATTGGCAGTACCTCCTTCACGCAAAAAAGACTAATTCCCAATTGAGTGTGCTTCCTTCACTGTTTCTCCTTCCTCCCACTTTGTACTGAGGGCTGGGTCCTGAAGCTTGTCTTCTCTCCAGACCTCAATCATATCTCTCAATCATGTCTTTCTTATCTCAGTTGTTTTTGTATTGAGCTATTAAATTTTCCTTGATGATTCTCTTTAGGTTCAGAGGATGGCAAGATCCATGTTTGGAATGGAGAGAGCGGTATAAAAGTAGCTGTACTGGATGGTAAACACACAGGCCCCATTACCTGTTTGCAGTTTAACCCCAAGTTCATGACTTTTGCCAGTGCGTGTTCCAACATGGTATGTGAACAATGCTAAGTGTCTTCTACATAGGGGCCCTCTCCTTTGGGGTGGCAGTGAGCATAGCATGCTGTAGGTACGAGTACCTGTTTGTCATCTGGCTTCCCTGTTCACCTCCCATCATGTAATGTCTGGCTGGGGTATTTTTTTATTCTTCCCACGAACTGGGGTCCCCTCTTGAGTTCCCAAGAGATAGTTTTTGCTATGACCTCTGCTTTTAGACTTAAATTACCTAGACTAGTGTTCAGTATCGGGGTAGGAGTTGGAGATTACCTAGACTATGCTGGACACCTTTTTTGCTGCTGGTAGTCTTTTTTTTTTTCTTTTTGGTACTGGGGATTGATCTTGGGGGTACCCAACTACTGAGCCATATTCCCAGCTCTATTTTTTGTATTTTATTTAGAGACAGGGTCTCACTGAGTTGCTCATTGCCTCACTTTTGCTGAGGCTGGCTTTAAACTCACAATCCTCCTGCCTCAGCCTCCCAAGCCATTCGGATTATAGGCGTGCACCACTGTACCCAGTTTGTTCTTGGTATTCTGAACCATTTTTTGTATGTTGGCACTGGGGATTGAACCCAGAAGTACTTTACCACTGAACTATATTCCCAGCCCTTTTTTTTGGGGGGGGGGGGGTCTCACTTAAGTTTTCAGGTTGGCCTTGAACTTGGGATCCTCATGCTTCAGTCTCCTCAGTTGCTGGGATGTAGGCATATACCATCATGCCCAGCTGAACCCACCTTTTGTGACTGCATTCTTTCAGTCTTTCATTTCTCTTGGTTTACACTGATTTCCTCAAAAATTCTTAACAGTTGATGATAACTCACCACTTAGAATTAACTCTAGGTCTTTGTCTCTTCCTAGACAAGACTTTGAAAACAAAGGATCAGTGAGTCTCAGCTCCTAGTTTTCTTTTTGGATCTCTTAAACCTGCCTGGGTATTTGCGTATTACCTAGAGTATGTTGCCTCCTCTCTTTTTTCTTTTCTTTTCTTTTCTTTTCATTCTCCTTCCTTCCCTGAAATCCCAGCTATTCAGCTGGGTCACAAGTTCAAGGCTAGCCTCGGCAACTTAGCAAGACCTTCAGCAACTTAGTAAGACCCTATCTCAAAATAAAAATTAAAAGTAGATATAGCCGGATTACAGGTATTGCCACTACACCAGTCTCCTTCCTTTTTTAAAAAACCAAGCAAGTAATCTCGGAAGAAATGTGGAAAAAAGCATCCAATTTCAATCCCTCTCATTTTTGTGGCTCAGGAAGGAGAGGGGTCAGTTTGAGGTCACCTGGCAGATTACCAATGAGGCCTGGTTCCCCAAATAGCATTCCTCTTTTTCTTCACATACTGGACCACTGTGGTTGAAGGTGGACAGTGAGTATTGGAAGGAAACAGAACCAGCTTAACTTTCATAGAGTGAGGAGTGTTTCTTTTCTTTTTTGCGGGGAGATACCAGGGATTAAACTGGGGGGCACTTGACTACTGAGCCCCATCCCCAGTCCTCTTTTGTATTTTATTTAGAGATAGGGTCTCATTGAGTTGCTTAGCACCTCATTTTTGCTGAGGCTGGCTTTGCACTCAAGATCCTCCTGCCTCGGCCTCCCCAGCCCTTGGGATACAGGTATGTGCCACAGTGCCTGGGTGGAGTGTTTGTTTTCAGACTGCCAGGGTTGGTCATTTGGGAGGGAAGGACACCAGGCCATAACTCTCCACCATTGGGGATCGGGGGTATAAAGAGCACTTCACAAGCCTGGTATGCTGACACATGCCTGTAATATCATCTATTTGGGAGGTTGAGACAAGAAGATTGCAAGTTTAACACTAACCTAAACAATTTAATGAGACCTGGTCTCAAAATAAAAAGGGCTATGGATACACAGCTCAGTAGTAGAGTGCTTGCCTAGCATTGCCCCAGGCTCTGGGTTCAATCTTGGGGGGGGGGGGGGCTTGACTTTTTAAAGCTGGCTTATATGACTTGTGTTCTCTTTCCAGGCCTTCTGGTTGCCAACCATTGATGACTGACCCTGATGCTACTCAGCTATTTCTGTATAATGGGGGTGGCCAGCAGGAAAAACTCAGAGTGGACTGAGATAAGTGGGATTGGATCATTTGACTGGGCTGGACAACATCCTTTCACATGGCCTTCCCATGGATGTGCTGTACATCTGCTCAAAAGAAAAAATTACTTTGTTGAGCTTCTTCATAAGAACTCTTGGTGCCACCGACTCAGTTGGGACTTAGCCTTTCCAGCCATCAATGCACCAGGTTCCTCCAGAGTGACCAGACTTGTGATTAGGTTATAGTGGGGCTCTCAAAAGCACCTTCAGTTTTGAATGTATTTGCTGCTGAGGAGCCAATGAAGTCTTCAATTCTGCACATCCCTTCTCCCATCTCCATAAATGCATGGGAAGCCACAGTTCTGGTTTTAAGATGCTTGGGCAGCTCAGTGCCCCTTGCCCTCACCCTGCATGTCTTGTTACTGGGTCTCCCTGTGTAATTGTGGCATTATTCCACAGCCATCATATTTGTTAGGTGCCAAACATTTACAGAAATAAGTCTTCATATACCTTGGGGTCAAAGATAGGGACAAATACAGAAGGACCTTGCTTGTCAGGAAGTTGTGCAGTTGTCCTGTAAGGGTGGGTGGTCTGGATAGGCCCCAGGCACTGGTGTTGGGTAGGAAAAGGCTCAAGAACCTAAAAGGGAGGGAAGGGGTAGCATTGTGTTCCTCAGGCTAGAAGGTTTAGCAGCAGCCTGGTGCAGTCCCATCAACAAGATAAACCTACAGTCCTGGGTGCCTACCAAGCTTGGTTTGTACAAAAGCAAGGTAGGAGTCTATTTTTGTACCTGAGATGCATTGCTCTTTTCCTGTGGGCCAGTATTGTGGAATGAGTCTGAGTTGTTTACACTGATGCCTTCCTTCCCTGTCCACCACAATTGTGTACATAGTCTCCAGGTGACACCCCCCTTTTACCCAGCTCCCACTGAAGAGTTGGTTCTAGGCCTGTGTTATATGTTATATTTAGCCTTTTATATATGACCTTTGATTTCGGTTTGTATTTTAGCACAGTATGTGCATCTTCATTTAAATATATTTGTGCATTCATATATGCATATATATGTATGTAGGCATATATATGTATGTATGTGTGTGTGTATATATATATACATATACATATATATATATAAAATCACCTGTAGCTTCTCAGTTCAGCCGAAGAAGGTGGAGTCCTGCAACCCAGGAGAAAGACTGCATCCTTGCTAATAGTGTTTGCCACAAGTGTTAGTCTTCCCTGTTACCTTTTTTCCTTTGGGAAACTAAATAAAAGCAAAGCTTCTTGTGTTTGCTGTTTCCATGGCAGCTAAGTGAGGGTCTTGGGATGACTTCCTATGTTCCTCAAGCCGCACTTTGGGGTCCTCTCTGCAGTATTAGTCTCTTTTTTGCCTGGTGGTGCTCTGTCTGCATCTGTATATGTCATAGTCATTTGCATGGCTTCTGTGCCTGGCTTGCAGCATTTAGGGACAGGATGCTGAAACCAGAGCACTTTGTTTGTCTAAGGCTTCTTACCAATTACAGGTTACTCCCACTTAGTATGGCTACTTTCTTGCTCTTTTTCTTGCTTTTTCTTGAGAGGAAGAGGTTTTAGCTAGGCCCAAGTTGGGATGCTCTGTATCCAGCCCATGGCCTTTTTTTCCCCTGCATGGCCTTCTTAAGAGCAGACCAAGTGGCATGTTACTTCCTTAAGTATCCAGTGAAACATTTTATTGCAGACAACACTCCATGCAGATCCAGAAACTGAGGCCCAATAAAGTTATGACTTGCCCAAAGGTACATAGCTGCTAGGGTAAATCAAGCCATCACTGCTTCTGTTTAGCAGCAGATGTAGGCTGTGAATCACTAGCACTTTCTCTTTTTTTGTTGTTTGTTGTTTAAGCAATTACTCTTGACTTTTTAATCAAAGGGAAAGGGCAAATAGGCATACACCTTTCCCAAGAGTAGACTGGAATCTGCAACTGCTACCATGCCACCCACTGTGTAGCTCTTCCTTCCCAGAATGGAGGGATTCTGAGAAACCAAATAATTTGAGCTGTTACTGCCCTCCCCTGGCTTTTCAGGGTAGAAAGTTCACATTAGGAACGGTCAGAGATGGTGCTTGAAACTGAGTTAACAAGAAAGGCTGTATAATTTCTATATATGTAACTAACAGAGAAGGAACTCTCCAGTAGTAGGAATATGATGTGTATTTGAGTTCTCAGATGTCCAAAGCTGAGGCATCATGTCCTTTGAAAACATGTCACTTCACAGCCTCTACTTTATGCCCTGTGGAGCAGAGTTGGGGAGGAATAGACAAGATTAAGCTGGAAGTGTGGCTGGGATAAAAGGGAAAGAAAGACTGAGAGCTGGCCCTGAGTAATGTATTGCTGGGAGCTGGAGTTAGGGCCAAAGCCACTGCTTTGTATGTGACAGCAACACTGAACTGCTCAACCACCAGCCAGTGGGGATATTTTTTAAAAGTTATTCCCTATTTCAATCTTAATTAGTGCTCATTAAGGATAATTGGGGGAATTTTAAAGAATCAATTGGCCACCCAAATAGTACCACTGTTAATCTTTTGGTGTTAAATGTTCCTCTACACATTTCTGTGCATAGGTTTTTGGTGTGTTTACATAGTTGTTATTCTACTGTATATACAATTTTATGTCCCTTTTGTACTTAACATATAAACTTTTTTTTCCATGTTAACAGTCTTAAACAGAATTTTATGGGTGCAGCCTCTTCCATTGAGTTTCTGAAGTATTGTCTGCCTGGTACCCAGAGGGAGGGAGAGAGGGAGGGGATGGGTTGTCTACCTTCATTCTCTTAGCTTACATGAGGCTCCCTGTAATGCTGTGTGAATGGACTGCTGTAACCCCTGCTAGATAAGGCCTATGGGCAAGTAAGAACCCCTAGGCTCTAATAGGCAGCCACTGGGCCAGAAATGAGTGACATTTAAAGGAAAGCCCAAGCCAGCCTTAATCTTCAGAACTTACCTGGCATATATGTCAGTCTGCCTTGCACATACACACACCCCACACCCCACTATTTCAACCTTTGATCAGAATGACAAATTCTTGGAATATGCATTCCCTACTAGACCCTGGCTTTTCGTGGCTTCTATACCAGGTCTGGCAGAAGGCCTAGCCACTTGCTTTGGTAACTTATTGCCTAGCCTGGTGAGATGGTAATTCCTGGGGCCTGCTGCTCTAGCTTAGCATCATCAGAGCTGCAGGACCTGCTTCTGACTTTTTGAACTATAGCAGATGAAAATCCTGCCACTCTGACTACTTCTGTACCACTTTGGAGGTTGGCTAGGGACTCTGATAGGAGGATCCTTCTGGCTTGGGTGTAGTTGGCCTTGGATAGGTTCTCCTGACTCAAGAGTACTCAAGGAGGAAGAGACCATCATGTGGTGTGGTGGGAGAGCTGCTGCAGCTTTAGCTCTGCTGGGAAATATGAACAAATCAGTCAGAATGGCTGCCCTTGCCACCTACTCCCTGGGTCTTGGCCTTGTGCAAAGAACAAGAGCAGGAGCAGGGAGTAGCCTTTAGCTTTGTTTGGAATTGAGGCCAGCAGGCTGTGGGGGTGATCTGGTTTAGCAGCTGGTTTAGCAGTTGATGTAGGGAAGAGGCAGGGACAGAATGTTGCCCACACTTTGCTCAGGGAGAAGGGGAAAGGCTGTGCTGAGGAAGGAGGAAGTCAGTCTCCTGTAGGCTGGTAGGCCAACATTCTGGCATTTGCCAGCTGACTGATAAGAGATGCTGTGCAGAACTTCAAGGACTAACATTTTGTTATGGCCCCAACTGGGCCCAGATTCAGGCCTGGAAATCCTGGGCTGAGGAATACAATTATATGGAAAATGGAATATATATGGTAATACTTTTTTCTGTTGAAAAACATCTGAGAAATGGAATCTCACAACTGTACAAGTTTTACCATATGTTTTACTGGATATTCTGGCTGCAGTCTAAAACTTGAATTGCCTGGCAAAAGTTACTTCAATTCTAGGAGTGAATTCAGGAACTCAGAGAAAGCTGAAGTCATGAAGGTGGTTTGCCTTGTCGTTCAAATACTACCTGAGCCTTAGTAAGTTTTAGATGCCAACAGTCTTGTGAAGAAATTGAGGCTGTTTGTCAAGCAGCAAGCCCAAGGATCTTAACAGATGTATGTTTCCTGCTAAATCCAGCTTAAAAGGAGTTTGCATTCAAAATCAAGTGAAAAAGTAACCCTTATGGTACCTAAAGCTTGAGTTCACAGTGGTAGTAAAGGCATCCTTTCTGTTTCTTGGGCATCAATGGGGGTTTGGGGGAACTCACTCAAGATTAAGAACTAGGGGGGCTTCAGAGAAAATAGTTCCAACTCTATGCAAGTTTGTATGGTAGAGCTAAAACTAATCCTCTGGAAGGTGCCCTTAATCCAAGCTGTACAAGCAGTTCACAATTCACAAGGACTCTTCTGCAAATGAACATTTAATAATAGGAATGTGATAAGAAACAAAAGCAAAGGCATTGGGGGTGAGACTAGGGCAGGCCTGGGGCCAGGGGGAAGCAGTCAGTCAGAAGGCCAGGCCAGAGGTAGTGATAAGCATTCCCTGCCTAGCCAACTCTGGAAGCTCCTCTTGCCCCTTTTTGCTCTTCCCCCAACTTTAGCTGTAGGGGCCATGCCCTCCAACAGCAGAGAACAGGGCAAAACCTAAGCTGGTGTCTCCTCCAGAGCTTTCTTCAAGATAGGTGTTCTAGCAGATGTGAGACTGCCCAAGATTTTCTTGGGGGATTGTTAAATGGATGCTCTGACATTCATGGATTGGAAAACCTGTATCCAAATACAGGCCGCTACCTCTTGTGGCATCTTTGACTAATACTCTTAATGTGGGTATCTCTTTCTAAGAATAATTCTTGGGGTATTGAGGATCCTGTCTGAGAACCCTCACAAGGGTTTCCTAAGTTGTAGGGAATCAGATCCCTCTACCAGAGTGATGTGATTATTGCAAAAGGCAGGACCTGGTGGGCTGGGCTCTTTGTACCCTTCCAGCTCTTGCTGCCTGGTATAAAAAAATCCCCTTGAAACAGATGAACCTGGGTGAGAAGCAGGAACATTGGGCTGTGGCTGGGGATGGGACAAACAGGGCCTGCTCTTGGCCATAGTGGAGGCATGCCCATACTGCAATGACTGGAGTGATTCTTGGATGGATGCAGTGTCAGAATCCTCAGTAGCCACTGCCTCCTTGGCTCTGGCTGTTCAAGGGAATCACGAACACAGAGACGTCATCATAGGACACCTGCCTTTCCCCTGTGGGACTGTCGTCCTTCCCCTGTGTGCTGTGTATCAGCATTTGGGCCAACTCCGAGAACCTGTGAAGACCATCATGCAGATGTACTTTGGAGGCAGAGCAAAGGGACAAGGCCAGCCTTCCAGGAGAACTCCCTGCACAGGTTGGACATTCGGAGGACCCAAAAAAATGTAGTCCAACTATGAGCCGAGCAAACAAGTCTGGTAGGACCACAGGAATCAACCCAAAGATTTTTTTGTGTGTGTGTTTGAGCTGGGGATGGAACCCAGGACTTTGTGCATGCAAGGCAAGCACTCTACCAACTGAGGTACATTCTATTCCCTAGCCTTAAGATTTTTTTCTGACCCACAATCACTCCCCCTCCTTTCTGAGAAGTTTGAGACAGCCCTAATTGGGCTGGCTGGCAGTGCTGTTTCAGCTTAACTACTTATGTCCCTGGCATGTACATACCTGTGTGGATCCTCTCTGTTCCCAGGGAGGAAGCTCCGTACCAGCCATGCCACCTGCTCATTGGACAGGACATCCCAGAGTCCATCAGTTGCCATGACAACTACATCCTCTTCCTGCAACTCTAACTGGTCCACATCCAGCACAGTTACCTGAAAGTTAAGCCTGAGGATCCTTAAATGCTCCCTTCCTGGCTCCCACCAGGCTCACTCCCTGTCTTTACAGGCAGATGGAGGCTGGAGTGGAATACATTGTCCTCTCACCTGTGGGACAGAGAGCAAGAAGGGCTTGAGCTGGATGTTTGTGTCCAGGACTCTGAGCTGATGGTCTCCCAGTCCTCGGGAGACAGCCAGCGTTCCCAGTAACCGAGCCTGAGGAAAGAGGAGAGATGTGAGGTGATAAGACCTTGGCACTCCTGAGCACACAGGAAAGGGTGGACTGTAGACCCCAGGAGCTGTGCGTTGAAGAAGAAACATAAGGGAACAGACCCCAGGACACTAGCCACACTCCCCACTAAGGAACAAAGGAACTCCCACCTTCACAGAGCAAGTGGATGGAGATTCTGGAAGGGGGACCAGGTACTGACCTGCCTGCCATGTCCGTGGATCAGTGGGTACTTCAGATCTGATTTCTCCACACATTTGTAGCTCCTACCAGAAGCAGAGCCTGCATCAGCCCAAGCCCTCACTTGTCTCCCAACCCAGGGCCCAGCTATTTTACCCTCATAGGGCCCACCCTGCCCAGTAAGAGGGGGACTGCCACAGCTGAGCCTGGACCTCAGGTCTCTCCCCACCATATACCCCCTCCCCCCTCACCAGCCGCTCATGTGATGATCCCTGAACAAAACCTTCTGCCCCAAGTCATCCCCCTTCAGCCGCCGAGGGAATTCCAGTCGGGTGAACTCATCAGCCAGAAGCTCAGGGTAGACAAAGGCCTGGGTGGGGAGGCCATGCCCGGGTCAGTCTCCCTTCTATGGCCCCTCGTGGCTCTGGATCCAGGACTTGGGGATCCATAGCCTCCCCCTGGTGAAGGTACCTACCAGATGCTGGATTCGCTGCCGCTCAGTCTCTGGAGTGAACTCAGAGCTCAGCGGCCGAATCTCATCTCTCCGAACCAAGATGGCCCTGTATGGGGTTGAGGAGGAGGAGGAGGAGGGATCTATGAAGTGATCTTCATAGATCTCATCCTTGGATACCCTCCTGCCAGCCCCTCTTCACCATCAGGAGCCAGCTTTGGCCATACCAATCCCTGGTTCAAAGCCCTTTGAGACTGTCTTCAGGGTAAGGCTCAGTTTTTCACATTAGCACTTAAGGGCCCTATGATGCTCTTCCTGGCATCCCTCACACTTGACATATGCCAGGTACAAACAATTTGGCCATTCAATCCTCCCTGTTTCTAAACCTCCACTTCCAGTCATCTTTCATTGTCCCATTTCTGGTTTTCTCCTGCCCACCCCACCCCTGCCCACACTCCAAGAACTCACCTGCTATCCCCAGCATTGGCCACATACAGCTTTCCCTGCAGGGACACAGCCACCAGAGCTGTGCAGCCGCCCACCTGGCCTGAGGCCTCCAGCTCCCGCCCGATCACCTCATCCTGGAGCAAACCGAGGCCATCTTAGCTGCCACCTGTACTTCCATCATACCACTGTTTCCCAATCCCACCCTAAGGTTCACTCCCCAACAGCAGGCCTGGCAGTCCCAGCCCAAAGTCCAGCCATGAGTCCTCAATCCCTGTGGTTAGAAGATGCAGATATGGGAAGTGCTACTCAAAACAGAGGAAGAGAAATCAGCCCCTGCCCCAAGGACTAGCAGCATGTGCACTTAGTGCACTGAGCTGTGGATGTAGCTCAGTGGTAGAACACTTGCCTAGCACGCAGGAGGCCCTATTCAATCCCACCTACCAAAAAAAAAAAAAAGCATGTAGTAGAAGGAGCAAACAGGAGAGATTAAGATGACAGTGACAATAA